ACTGAAATAACACATGGATTTTCAATATGAAGGGTAAAGAGATGGTGCTATTCTGGGCAGGGTGTTGCAGCTTGAAGTATGGTAATCCATAGCTAATCATAGAATTAAAGAGGAGCAGTTAAGGGCACGGGGAAATATTTTCAGTACTGTATAGAAGCAACAATGGAGGCTCAAAGCAGATTCTATTTTAATCATTGCAAGAGGTCCTTAAAATTGCAAGAATTGATGATCAGATTCACTCCAGTTTTCTCCACCAGCACTCCAGCTCAAAGAGTTTCTTGAGGGAGTGCTGAAAAGAAAGGAATTGCTTTTAGTAAGTCAACTGTCATTCACCATCTTTCAAATTTTACCTCCCACAGCACCACTAGTCCTATAGCATTTCTTCTGTCTGTTTTTTTCCAATACCAATTTACATGATATTGCTTTAAGCTCTGCAGTTAATGTGCAAAAATCCTCATTACTTACTGGTGCCCATTAAATACATCTTGGTGTAAAGTATGAATAATTATTACAATAATAATAATTATTATTATTAAAGTATGATATTAATTCATGTGAAATTTGTGTAGTTTTTGGTGGTAACCTGCACCTGCAAGCTATTTTAGAATCTGAACTGTTACTAAGTAGTAATTTCAACAGAAACCATGTCAAGATACTTGACTTGGTATGCAAAGTACAGGCTGGCTCCATTGAAAGAAATATCAATATCATTCAGACATGAAAAAACAGACAAGAAGCAGCATCTCCCCATCATCCGAACGTCTTGATGTGCTTGTATGTTATTCAACAGTATCATCATTTATCGCAATTAAAACTCAGGGGTGTCTATCCCTGCTGATGAGTTGTACCTCGTTTTGCTTCCTGTCCACCTCTTCAGCACTGGAGGACCCAACTCTATGATGCCAAGCTGCTCAGGAAGGAAACAAAATACTCAGTCATTGAAAGGTGCTGTTGACGGAAAGATCTACTGTCTGGCTCTCTGTCTGTCTGGCTCTCTATCGGTCTCTCTGTCTGTCGATCGGTCTCTGTTTCTATTGTCTGTCGGTCAGTCTCTCTGTCGGTCTGTCAGTCGGTCGGTCTCTCTGTCTGTTGGTCGGACTCTGTCGGTCGGTCTCTCTGTCTGTCTGTCGGTCGGACTCTGTCGGTCGGTCGGTCTCTTTGTCTGTCGGTTGGTCTCTCTTGTCTGTCTCGGTCGGTCTCTCTTGTCTATCGGTCGGTCTCTCTTGTCTGTCGGTCGGTCAGTCTCTCTTGTCTGTCGGTCGGTCAGTCTCTCTTGTCTGTCTGTCTCTCTTGTCTGTCGGTCGGTCTCTCTTGTCGGTCGGTCTCTCTTGTCTGTCGGTCTGTCGGTCTCTTGTCTGTCGGTCGGTCTCTCTGGTCTGTCGGTCGGTCGGGCGATTTCTCTTGTCTGTCGGTCGGTCGGTTTCTCTTGTCTGTCGGTCGGTCTTTCTTGTCTGTCTGTCAGTCGGTCTTTCTTGTTTGTCTGTCTGTCGGTCGGTCTCTCTTGTCTGTCGGTCGGCCGGTCTCTCTTGTCTGTCGGTTGGTCTCTCTTGTCTGTCGGTCGGTCTTTCTTGTCTGTCTGTCTGTCGGTCGGTCTCTTGTCTGTCGGTCGGTCTCTCTTGTCTGTCGGTCTCTCTTGTCTGTCGGTCGGTCTCTCTTGTCTGTCTGTCTGTCTGTCTGTCTGTCTGTCTGTCTGTCTGTCTGTCTGTCTGTCTGTCTGTCTGTCGGTCGGTCGGTGTCTCTGTCAGTCGGTCTCTCTGTCTGTCGGCCGGTTGCTCTGTCTGTCGGTCAGTCTCTCGGTTTGAGTCTTTCTGCTGATCGGTCAGTCTCGGTCGGTTTGTCTGTTTGTCAGTCGATGTCTGTCTGGTCTCTCTGTCCGTCGGTTGGTCTCTGTCTGTTGGTTGGTTGGTGGGTCAGTCAGTCTGTCGGTCGGTCGCCCTCTCTGTCTGTCAGTCGGTCACCCTCTCTGTCTGCCGGTCGGTCGTCCTCTCTGTCTGCCGGTCGCTCGCCCTCTCTGTCGGTCGGTCGCTCGTCCTCTCTGTCGGTCGGTCGCTCGCTCGCCCTCTCTGTCTGTCGGTCGTTCGCCCTCTCTGTCGGTCGGTCGTTCTCTCTTGTCGGTCGCTCTCTCTGTCTGTCGGTCGCTCTCTCTGTCGGTCGGATGTCTCATGAACAGCGTTATATAAATAGAAGTTTTTGTTTCCTGCCTGTCTGTCAGCCTGTCTTTCTCTGTCTCTCTGTCTGCCTCTCTGTGTGTCTCTGACTGCCTCCCTGTCTGTCTCTGCCTGCCTCTCTCTATCTGTCTAAGCCTGCCTCTCTATCTGCCTCTCTTGCTTCTGTCACTCTGCTGCTCTCTGTGACGCTCTTTCTGCGCTGCTGTCTGCCACTCTTTGCACCTCTCTGACTGTCTTCCTACCTGTCCCTATCGGTTCTCTCCCTCTCTCTTTCTCTCTCTCTCTTATCTGCCCATCTCCCTCTCTTTCTACTTGTCTCTCTCTGTTTGCCTGCCCGTCTCGCCCCCTCTCTATCCTTCTCCGTCTCGGTCTGCCTGCACGTTTGTCTGCCTGCATACTTGTTTGCCTTCATATCTCTCTGTCTCTCTCTGGCTGACTGCCTTCCTTTCTGCCTCTCTGGCTGTCTCCCCTCTTGTTTCTCAGTCTTGCTTTTTATCTGCCTTCCTGGCAATCTGCCTGCCCATCCATCTGTCTTCCCGTCTGTCGTCTGCCCTCTTGTCTGTCTGCCTGCCCTCCTGTCTGTATGTATGATCCCGTCTGTGGGTCTGTCATCCCATTTGTGGGTCTGTCACCCTGTCTGTTTGTCTGCCTGCCTGTTCCTGTCTGTCTTTCTGTCTTATCTGCCCTCTTGTCCGTCTGTCTACCCTCCTGTCTGTTTGCCCTCATGTCACCCCATCTGTGCATCGGTCATCTTGTCTGTCCTGCCCGCCCATTTGCTTGCCCGTCTATCCGTCTGTCTTCCCATATGTCTGTCTGACAGTCTGGGTTTCTGCCTGCCTGTCTGTCAACCCTTCTTTGCTTGCCTGTCTGTCTGTCTCTACCTGCCTACCTATCTATGGGTTTCTGTCTGTCAGGCTCTCTCACTCTCTCTGTGCCTGTGTCTCTCACTCTGTCTGCCCCCCTCTTTCTCACTGTCTACCTGTCTCTCTCGGTTTCTAACTCTCTCTCTCCGTCTGCTTGTCTCTCTGACTGTCCCTCTCTCTACCTGCCTTTCTCTCTCTCTCTGACTCTGCCTTGGCTCTGTCTCTGGATTGCTCTGTCTGTGCCCTGGCTCATCTCTCCTTTTCTCTTTCAGTTCTTTCCTTTTCTTTCTGTATGTGTATGTGCATGTCTGCTCATTAGGCACCGTCATACTTCACGACACTCCTCCTTAACCCCCCCCACCCATCAGCCATTGGCTTCAGACTATTAACCCGCTCTCTTGAACGACACAAAGTCCCTATAACTTACCCCTTCCCTCAGCTCCTTTAAGATCTGCTTCAAGACTTCCTCTTTAACTGCGCCTGTGATCATCTTACCCCACCGACCCACCCACCCCTAGCTCAGATGCAAACCCTGGACTGTCCAGAGCCTTGGGTGGTTGTTCTGACATTACAGGCGCTATTTAAATGCAAATTTGTTTTTAATGCGTTTGTGTGTGTGTCTCCCTTGTCCGTCTCTCTATTACTTGCCCTCTGTCCATCTCTTCTCTTGCCCTCTGTCTCTCACAAACAATGAGAGACGGGCATTTTGGGAGAAAGAGAATGGAGTGAATTATACACTGTGTGCTTGGATCTTAATGGAGTTGAGGAACAGAGGGATCTGGGTCACAATGTATAATTAAAGAGGCAAACGTGGTTCTAGGGTTTTGTATATAACCGTTAGCTATAAAAGTTATCTTGAATCTAAATAAGGCATTGGTTAGGCCTGCTGCAATATTGTGAGCAGTTTTGGATACTACATTATAGAATGGGTGTTTGAGTTGTGGAGAGGATCGGAATAAGAATTATCAAAAATTGAAAGGATATGGCTATGAACAGGGATGAGAGGTGAGGGTGATATGATACAGTTATTTAAGTTAATGAAAACGTTTGAAAGAATTAAACTTTCTACCAATATAGATTTCAATGACAACAGGACATGAATTAAATATTGTGAAAGGCGAATAAAAGGAGAGGTTTGGAATAACTTTCGCCAGAGGACTGTCAGAGAATGGAATGATTTGCCAGGGAGCCTGTTGAAGCAGTGACGGTTGGGCTTTTGAGAGAGAATTCGATAAACGCACGCAGGGGTCGGGTATGCTAAATAGGTATTCAAGATACAGGGAAAGAGCAAGAGTTCGGGATTAGAACGGGTCGCTTCTTGGAGGAGCAAACGCCAGTACGAAAACACGGGCTGAATAGCCTCCGACTGTATACTACAATTCTGTGGCTCTATGATACGTTTTCCGTTTGCTTATGTACTGCTTACAATTTTCTCCTCTCTGAAATTTTAAATGAGTAAAAGCAACAGGCTATACATGCATATGTATAGAAGGATGTGAACATACTTAACTTTTGACGGAAAAAGTGCCACACTGGGGAAGGGAAAGTAGAATAGGCTGCAAACATACAGGTGGTACCAATATTAGATGAATTTCTAATCTTGAAAAGATGGAGCTGTTGGACACAGTAGTATTTGTAGGGCGCTGGAATGATGAACAGCTTTGTTGTTTGGTCTGGAAATGAAGTGAAGTAATTAAACCTGATATAATCAAATAAAATAGATTTCGCACTAGCAACGACTTACAACCTATTGTAGATTTGAGCATGGTGCATTTATAATACTGATACATTTCTATTTGTACTTTTTGGTTTTAATGAGGAGCCAAAAAGTAGTTATGTAATGATGAATTTTTAATTAACAATATTTTGAAGTAATTATTTTAAGTTTATACTGAAAATTTACTGCATAAAATCCTGAAAGCCCTGAATACTATATTCATCAATCTCTGAATACTATTTTTTTTTACAGATGAGCCCACCCGGTCCTTGAGTGGTCTGATTTTGAAGAACAATGTGAAAGCGCATTTACACAATTTTCCAAATGGTGTAACCGACTTCATTAAAAATGAATGTCTGAAAAATATTGGTGACTCCTCGGCTTTAATTCGAGCCACTGTGGGTAAGTGTTACAATTTGAAAGGGTTTTTCAGAACTTTTAAAGCGTGTGCATAATTCATACCAACAGAGCAGAGGGTCTCTTATACATTAGGACATTTTGGATAATGCAAGAGTTACTGGACCAACAACATAATCCTTAATTAATTAGGTCGCAATTGTTTTTGGTACAGGTGAGTCAAATATTTCAAGAGAAGGAGTGCAAAGTAATCAGTGGATTTTTGCACTAGCAACAACTTACAAGCCATCATAGATTTGAGCAGTGGCTTCAAAAGTCATTTTAAGTTAACTGAAAGGACTATTAAAAGAAGTAGAGCAACAATAGAAGAAACAGAAATTTGGACGTTCAAATAGCAGCCTTCAAACTCAGTTGATTCAGCATCTGATTTTGCCTTTCTGCACCCCACCTTCGGAACTCCGTCCCGGAAATCCTGTGCCTTGCCCCCTTCAAGATCCATCTCCAGACCTTCCTCATTAACCATGCCTTCCCATTGCCATTCCTCTCCACTTTCCAGTGCCTTCAGACATCCTCACAATACGAAAGCCGCTATATAAATGTAATTTATTGTTGTTGGAATCAAATGTATGTATTCAAATTCAGTGGCTCCACTTAACCTTCACATTTAATGGTTTAAAAGAATATGTACCATATCCTATGGTAGGCGGGAGAGGTAGTTTGGGGCTTCCTGGCGTTAATCATCTGTACTAGTCCAAATTGTTGGTCCTGTCTTTCGATGATACGTAAGACTGAGCGCATGCTTCCTGTTCATAATATCTTAATAATATATATATATATACATAATATATATAATAATAATATCTGTTCAATAGCCTCGCCCCACCTTACCTCTGCGACCTCCTAACCCCATACCAACTCGCCCGTTCCCTCTGCTCAGCCGGCTCTGGCCTGTTCCACATCCCCCGACCCACCTGCCCCACCATTGGCGGGAGAGCCTTCAGCCACTCTGCCCCCAACCTCTGGAATTCCATCCCCCAATCACTCTGCCCCCCCCCCCCTCCTTAGCCTCCTTCAAGTCCCGCCGCAAGACCCTCCTCTTCGACCATGTCATCGGTCACCCCCCTTCCCCTCCCTTCCTGACCCCAGCTCAGGTCTGAAATGCTGTACACTGTCCAGCACCTTGGGACGTCCTCCCGACGTGAAAGGCGCTGTACAAATGTAATCTTGTTGTGGTTCAAGTGGACATTAAAACATCCTTTGCAACACAACAATGTCCCACAAATAGTCATGAACTGAATAACTTATTTATATGGGGGAGTGTTGGTCCAGGAGATATTCCCTTATCTTTTGATTAGTGCCATGGGATTGTTAACGTCCACTGAACAGACAGGTGGGACCTCTGACAGATGAGTTGTGTGGGTAACTGGGCTTCTTGCGGTTCACGCTATTCATCAACGACTAAGAAGGGAGAATTTTGTATTGTCATATAAAATTTGCTGAATCCACCAGGCTATTTGGCAAGGTGATTAATATAAGATAGAAACATAAAGGACAAACTGAACTAACTAAAACAGATGAGCTGAGAAGTGGATAGCAGATGGATTTTAATGTTGATAAATGCAAGAAAATTCATAATGGTAAAGGAAACGATATCCATGTATAAATGATGAGGGTCCTTTAGCAGAGGTGTAGAATGAAAAAAATCTAAATGTGATTGATCATTCACTGACTTTTCCAATCGATGTGAAGCTGTTAACAAATTTAATTAAATACTAGGTTATATCTCAAGGACATTTGACTATAAATGGAAAGCAGTTATTATAACATTGTACAGATGACTAGTAAGCCGCATTGCAGCTTTGGGTCCAGTGCCTTCAAAGGATATTGATATGTTTGAAAGGTTTCAGAAAAGAGCTGCTGATGTAAATTATTGATGGTGTGATTCAGCATGATTTCCTTGTGCCACTGAGAGAGGGGCAGTGTCACTCCTGCAAATTGTTGTTGAGGCTGAGTCCATAACTGAGCAAGGGGGTGGGGGTTAGTAGGCCATTCAGCCCCTCAGGCCTGTTACACCATTATAGTAGATTTTGGCTGATCTGTACCTCAACTCCATTTACCAGCCTTTTCTCCACACCCTTACCTAACAGGAATAGGGAGGTGACCAAAGACATAGGTTTTTAGGTGGCTTTTGAAGATAGAAAAGGGTGGTGAGAAGGATAGGTTGAAGGAGGGAGTTCCAGTGGGTTCTGCTTCCACCCTCGACTACATGACTACTTCTGTCCTGACAGAATGTCCTGTCAGACATCAAATCCTGGGTGAGAGCCAATTTTCTCCAGTTAAATGTCGACAAGATTGAGGTGTCTTGTTCGACTCTCAATTGTCTTAGATCCTACATCTGTCCCATGATCCGTTCTGCCTTTCGACACCTCTGCAACATTGCCTACCTCCCATGACTGTCTCTCCCCTCAGGCTGCTGAGACCCTCATCCATGCCTTCAATATGTCCAGGTTTAACTACTAACTCCCTGCTCGCTGGACATCGGTGGTCCAGTCTTTAGCCTTGTTAGCCCTCCCCCCACCCCCGAAACTCCATTGTGGAGCATTGCCGCCTTCGACCATGCCTTCGGTCATTTTCACACCCAACTAACCCCCCCTTGCTCTATCCCTCTTGATTCCAAACCCCAGCTTGAGTGCCAATCAAAACCGCTACATAAATGCAATTTTGTTGTTGTTGTTGGTTTGGATACTATTGAGTATCGTGTTGAATTTCTACATTTGTCAGATACCTGGCTGACCCGAAAAAGTATGCTTCGCCTAGACCTTAAAATTTCTTCAAAGGAACGTGAACTGTTTCGTATTGCATTCTAATTTGTAGGTGAGTCTGTGCCATAAATGTTTTAATAATTTTCTATTTTGTTGCCCTTTACAGGTATTCTGATTACTACAATAGCCTCAAAAGGTGAACTACAGAACTGGCCAGACCTCTTACCAAAGCTCTGTAGCCTTTTGGATTCAGAAGACTATAATACCTGTGAAGTAAGTTTTGTTTTAGATCAGGCATTTTAAGTGATGCAAAAGCAACTGGTAATTTTAGTCTAAAGGCTGAAGTATTGCACTGTATTCACTTTGGGAAGGAATGTGATCTATGGTAGCCAAATTAGAAAACGATCTAAGCATTTCCTACAGACTAGACTAAATGTAGTTAGTCTTTCTATAACTCAAGAAGGGGTTTCAAAAGTAAGAAAGTGACAGTCCCTCTACTGTTAGAATCGCTTATGAAATTTCAGCAAGTTTATATCTATTTAACTCTGGGATATGGGTTCAGTGATGTGCATTTTCTCTTTGCCCTGTAGTTGGGGGAACTATTTTAACTGATGAAATTTATTGGAGAAATGAGTTGAAATCATGAAATGAATTGGGAAGTGCAAATCTAAGTCTGGTGTGCACAGAGCATAAAAATGTCCATTATTGAGTACAAATTAGCAATAACTTTCTTAGCTGCTGTGGCAAATTAAAAAGTTCATCCTGATGCAGTAACAGTATTTGTGATTGAAATTGAGGAGGGAAAACTTTTTTACTCAGTCTCTTTATAGTTTGATCCTGATAGTGTTTGCTGAAAATATTTCCCAGCACTCGTATTTTCCATCTTGGCTAGAAAAAATTACAACCTTTTAGTATCAATAAATATTTGTTAACATCAGGTGATTTGTACTTATGGAAGGAAAAAAAGACCGAAACTGAGAAGCAAAATTTGTTCAAAACCATTCTCTAAACGTTTCAATGAATTTACTGCAGTGATCCTGATCGAGCCAACAAGCTGCTCAGCGATCATCTCTCCTCCACTTTCAATTCCCTTGCCCCACTTGAAAATCCAGACTGTCTCCAAATCCACCCACTCGGCTCTGGTACAACAGCTACCTCCACTCCCTTAAATCCCAAACCCGGATGCTCAAACCCAGATGACACAAAACCCTAAAGGTTTGTGGAGGCTAGAGGAAAAAGAATGTTTTAAATTTGAGCTAAATTAGGAAGCAGAAAAAATAAAGTGCAATTAGAAAAGACTTGATTTCGACAGAAAAATAGTGGAGAAAGAAAGAATTTAGTTTAATTTGTTATAAAATTGCATTAACTACTTGTTTAGCATTCCTGAGCACATTGATTATGATGTCCAAAATTGATAAGCCCAAGTGACAAGAATTTCCTTGGCTCTGCTGACAGTCCACACGTTTAGATCACTCCAGTTTGAATTGCCTGCATGTAAATTTATTATTCAGCTTTGCAGTTGCTAAATTCAGCAATAAAGTTTATCCCTTTTCAGGAAATAGCCAGCAAATCTAAGATGGTTAGAGATGATGAGGAACATGCTTTAATCATTTTGTAATTCATTATTAACTAAGTGTCCTGCAACAGTCGGCTAGTATTAAATTACAAAATGATTGATTATCTGTATTAGTAATAAAAACGATCCTAATCTGTGTTGGTTCAGTGTAGCCACTTAATAAGTGAGGTTATGCCTGATGTTGGCTCTTGGCAACATCCTAGCTGAATTATCGGAATGAAATAAGGATACAGGGAATTAACAATTTATTAACTTTTTTAAAAAGATGCCTAATTTAAGCTAGCACTGCCTATTTAAATATCTGTTATACGTAACTATGACAGCAGTGAAACTTATTTTGTTTGCAGTTGTCATTCTTCTTACCTAGCCTTTAAAACAACAATCTGCATTTAAAAAAAATACATTCATGGGATTTCATGTTTGTTATAATTGGTATAGTTATAAAAAGAGTTGGTGTATTGTCACCATTTTTTTGGATTGTTGAAATCCTGCTAAATTGCATTGCTTTGAAATTTATCTTTCTTCAGTTCAATAAAATTTTATACTTTTAAAGCGCTTTTCACGAACTAAAGCATTTGACAATTCTGAGCTGGGGGGAGCGTAAAAATAACCAAAAATGGGGTCAAAGAGATACATTTTGAGGATATGTTATTCCTACTGCAAGTTGAAGTAAATTGGGTTTAAATCAACGTAGATCAAACCACTTAAAGCTTTCAATCCTTTTCAAGACTGCAGTAATACAGCATGAAAATACTAATTGGATATTTGTTCCAAGGATTTTTATAAATTGAAGTTCACAATTCTACTTCATAAAATTCTTGACATTTGCAAATGAAACAATTTCCAATGAGGGAGGTATGTAATAATAATATTTCTTGCATTTGAAATAGCACCTTATCACGTCGTTGAGAAGTCTCAAAGCGCTTCACAGAATATTTTGTAAAGTTTATTTTGTGAGCAAAACGCAGGAGCCAAGTGCGCACAGCAGTGTCCCCCACAAAGAGTCATGGATTGAGTGACCAAATTGTTATTATTTTTTAAGTAATTGTTATCCCCAGAAAGCGATCCACCAATCGACTAACAACCGGGTTCCTTCTTACTGCTGGTAAACAAAGGCGTGTGGAGCAAGGAAACTTGCCTAAGGTTTTGCCGTGTCTCAGGTATTGAACTCGGATCCTCTCGCTTGCGAGGCGAGCGTATTAACCACAATGCTATAGGACTCTACATGTATTTATAACATTAAGTACGTTAATATTTTGTCTTCAATACTAAATGGAGGTACTCAGATTGTTAACTTATAAACCAGGAGAGCTATTTTTCTTTACAATTGTAGTGCAATTCTAAGTCTGTAAATAATTCAAAATGTCCTTCTCTAATTAGACAAATCACAAATGAATTACAGTAAACTCCTGATAACTTATGATTCCAAGGGAAAAGAGCTCAGTGACAAGTTATCGGGACTGGATAGTTAGCCATATTTATAAATACATAAATAAATGCAGCCTGGATATTAGCAGCATGATGACTTAAGACAACTTAACTTAGTGACAAGTTAAGACAGGGTCAGGTAATCAGGAGTTTACTGAGGTTCTTCGGATGAGATGTTAAACTGAGGTCCCATCTGCCTGTTCAAGTGAACATTAAAGATCCCATGGTACTATTCGAAAAGGGAGGGGAGTTTTTCCTGGTGTCCTGGCCAACAATCCCCCAAATAAAATTGGTTACGCTCTCCATGGCTGTTTGTGTGACATCACTGTGCGCAAACTGGTTACCATTATTCACCCTCAAAATACAAGGTTAATCCACTTTACAGATTATCCTGTGAAGCACTTTGAGACATCTCTATGACGTGATCAGGCACGATACCAAATGCAAGGATTATTGTTATTATAGTTTTCATATACATTCGGCTTACCATTAATGCAAGCATTTCTGAACACTTGGTTCTATTGAAAGCATGTAACTTTTTGCCTGTATTAGAAAGTTGAGAGTAGACTTAGTGATTTTATAAAAATGTCATGGAATTTGCAACCATTAATAATAATAATCCTTGCATTTGATGTAGTGCCTTATCATGTCATTGAGACCTCTCAAAGTGCTGCACAGAATATATTGTAAAGTGAATTTTAAAATCTAAATTTAATTTTAAAGTCCAGTTGAAGTGCTCGGGTAACGTTCTCAAAACATGTGAGCAAAAAATTGAGAAATTATATGAATCTTGAAATGAAATAATTCTACTTGTGATCTACTTTTGTCCTATTTTTCCTTAAATTAGAATTCTTGCTTTTAGAATAATAACACTGTGATGTACCATCTGACTAACTTTTCAGTATTGCTCTCTATCCACAACTGACATTTTCATGTACGTAGGCTAAGCTGACTGCAGCAATCTGTTTCCATGTTAATTATTCTATTTCTCAGGCAGTGTGTGATACAGTGAATAGATGCAACAAGCTTGCATTTATCACTTAGTAATGCAAAGACCAGGAGGCAGCACCAGTTAGGTTTATAAATAGATCTTCTAGCTCTGTAGTTACTTATTTTAAAAAATCAATCCTTGAGAGCTGTGGCTAAATTAAACATGCTCATATTACATGGTACGTTTGGCAGTGAGCTGGAGGAGGTGATTTCAGGAACTCGGGAACTTGCACTTACATGGCATAAACTTAGAGTACAAATCTCTTTGGCTGCCCAGTAGACCATACAGAAACTTTTAACAAACTATTGGCATTAAATTCAGTGAAATGCATCAAGGTGAGCAGGCACACACAACTGAAGTACAGTAATTTGATTGCGCTTGTTTTGACCTAATTCAAAGTAACATGGAGCAGTAAGTAGAAATAGTCATTCCTTCCTCATTGCTATGCTACCAATAAAAAAGCAGTTTTGCTCCTGGTAGTATAAAGTCAACATGAAAATGATATGCTTTCTTAACATCAAAAAGTTCATGTGTAGAACTGCGTGGATTTGGAAAGTGATAATCTCCATCCTGAACATTGGTGCCCTTTTGTTCAAAAATAGAGTTGATCTCTCACAACATTTTATAGAGCAGTGCCTATATGGCTGATAATACCTCTGAATTGATAGTGGTGCAGTGTAATCTTAAAATCCATTAATCTAGACCACATAATTGAGGTCACAAGAATAGAAAACAAAACAGGATTGTGTTGCCCCGAGTGAATCTGTGAAACAAAGATACCTTTGAATTGGACATTGTTTTTTGTATTGCTGATAGGTTGGTTTCCACAATGTGAAAGGTTATGATGAGGCTATGCAGGAGATGGGTCTGAACCTTTTTTGTGGTTAATTTATCATCTTTGTCAAGTAGATATCAGTTAGGTCTATAAATAGATCTTCTAGCTCTGTAGTTACTTTTTTAAAAAAATCAATCCTTGAGAGCTGTGGCTAAATTAAACATGCTCATATTACATGGTACGTTTGGCAGTGAGCTGGAGGAGGTGATTTCAGGAACTCGGGAACTTGCACTTACATGGCATAAACTTAAGAGTACAAATCTCTTTGGCTGCCCAGTAGACCATACAGAAACTTGGGGTTTCTTGGGGTTGTCTGAAAATTTCTAAATTCTATACGAAAATCTAAACAAAAATTCTAAACAAAAATCTAATTTTTAAAATCATGTTTTCTACTCACTAATACAGGAAACTCCTGATAACTCCTCACTCTGAGCGAAAAGGGCTCAATGATGAGTTATCCAGAGTGGTGAGTTAGGCATATGTATAATAAATACATAAATGCGGCCAGGATATTGACAGCGTGATGGTAGTGAGAAGTTAAGCCAGGATTGAGTTATCAGGAATTTACAATGTAGATACATTAATTACTAAAGATTGCAGTGAATTATCAGCGTCAATAACATTATTCAATCAATATTGACAATGTTCTGACTTCCATTCCTGTTCTAATTTGGATTTAGCGAATTGTAAATGTGACAATTCATGGACCATATGTTGGCTTTTGCTAACAATTTTGCAATGAACTAGGAATAATACATTTTGTAAATAGGATTTTCAGATTAAAGTTCTCAATGATGACATCGAATGGGTTTGAATGAGCCTCACAAATGACACTTTTGTTTATATTAAATATTTTAGTTTTCCCTTCATTTGACATTTTTACATATTTAACTTTTTACTGTCAGTGTTTGCCTTGAAATGTGGAAAAATGCTGGTAAATTATGATGTGATCCACCATAAAAATAGTCATGCGAATAGTGGTATTAACTGTTTCAAATTTTAAAATTGCTGCTCTCCATCACTGATGTGTGAATAGTTTGAAGTAGATGTTAAATTGACAGCATATACTGCATTCCATGTATAAAGATGATATGGGATACATTACACAGGCCATAATAACCACAAAATGCTAATTTTGCTAGAATGTTCATATATAAGGATGAAGGATGCTTGTTCAGGCTTAACAGCTGTGTTTCTTTCAGCTGCATTTTGAGCCTTGCACATCTAACATTCAGCTTTGACAATAGCCATTTTTTTAAAAAAAAAGTGTATATATGTTTTGAAAATGTTCCAAATGCCTTGAGAAACTGATATTTACCCAATGGGTGAAAATTACTTAATAGAATTAGTATTTATCCAAAGGGTAAAAATTGTCTTAAGGGACAGATAGGTTTGCTTGCATTATTCAGTTGTTCTGCCTGTTAAATGAACACTTAATTCAGTGGACCTTGATTCTTATTTTGTTTTATGTTCAAACATTGGCTCACATGTTGTGTGGACTACATAATTCAAAATTATAATTCATAGCCACAATCGGTGATTCCAGAAATTAATATATTTTGCGCCATGTGCAAGCGCTCTGAGACGCTGCCCTGCATGAGGGGCACTATATAAATGCAAGCTCTTGTTGTTGAACATGATTGTGATGAACCATCTTGTTTGGTGTTTTCTAAATTTATTATTTTCCTTCTATTAGGGAGCCTTTGGTGCTCTTCAGAAGATTTGTGAAGACTCTGCAGAGATATTGGACAGTGACATCTTAGATAGACCTCTCGATGTTATGATTCCTAAATTTCTGCAGTTTTTTAAACACAGCAGTTCGAAGATAAGGCAAGTTGACTTTGATTCTTTGCTATGTATTATTCACTTTTTGACAATTTTTTATGCAAAGTGACCCTCACAGATACAACACTAATTTCTACTTCTTAATTTCATAAACTCATAATTCTCTTACAATTAAAATTTAATTGCCAGCTTCAATCTTCTCTCACACTAGGAGATCCTATCCTATTTTTAATTTGTCCATGGTCCAGAGATCGTTATCGTATCATACATGTAATGTTGTGCAGTTTGATAAACATGGATAAAAAAAATCTAGTAAAAATTCAACCATTTTAAAGCAACATATCTGGTGGTTATCTTGCAGATTTGCTTCTTTGTAAATAGCGTAAATCCTGTGGAATTCAGTAACACACGATCTGTTCAATTACTTGGATCTTTGATTGTTTTTTCTTGGAAGAAAGAATAAAACTACAGGAAATGAATGTTAACATAAACTGATATCCTGAATATTCTTTTATGAAGCAAACATTCTGTAGTCTCATGGATTATGTTCAGTTGCCATTCAGGCCTTGGAAGTCCAGTAGTTAATGCCCTTGAGCTCCTCAAATTTTTGTGTTGCAATAACTAAGCAAATTTGGCTCATAAATCCTAGTGAAGGAGCTTCTGTAAGCATTGTAACAGTGACACCCTACAACCATGGTGCACATCAATGGAGTTGTGTTATGATAAATCAAAGTTGTCCTATATTTGCTGCCAATGGGATTGAAAGATCAAACCAGTATTGTAAATGTTGGAGCTTCCTCTAGTGGCAGAAATTCAGTACTGTGACAAAATTCCACAAGTTCTGTGGAATTCCACAGTTCTGCAGTTATATTGTGTGCTCTCTGATTCTAAGTCACCCAACTTCAAACTTTTTTTTAAAACAAATTGCCATGGGAAGAAAATTAATTGGAAGGCAATTTGTTTTTTTTAAAATCTCCTGATCGCTGGCCTCTTCATGCTGGGATATGGTTCCGTGGGCGCTGGTTACCATCGAGCCAGGTTGGCTGGTCTGTCATGAGCAGCTGCCATGGAGTACTGCAGACCCAGCTGGCTCAGAAACAGGACTACCACAGAGGGTTGACTTGATTCTGACATTCTGTTGCCAAGCATGTCACCTTGGAGCCAGCTCAGCTTCAAGGAGGCCATATTTACCTCCTCCTTCCCCTTCAATTTAAGATTTTGTAACAGCAAATTTACAGATGTAACCAGTGAAATCAACGCTCCTATCCTGCATGAAGGATGCTATATAAGTGTTATTTGCTGTAGACCAAGCATATTAATTTAAATGTATTGATAAGTTATCTTCTAATACAATGTGTTACTGCTTTTAGGTCCCATGCTGTTGCCTGTGTGAATCAGTTTATCATCAGTCGAACTCATGCCTTGATGTTGCATATTGATTCTTTCATTGAGGTATGTCTACTATGTGGATTCACTGAATTTTGATAGTTAAGGGAACCTGGCCACTTAAACCACTGAAAATGAAACTTATTCCCAAGTTTTTATTTTGAATTTTTGTCACAACTTCTGTTTTTGTTTGTCCGTTTTAATATTTCAAAGCAATGAGCCCTAATGTTCTGTATGGGTACTGGCTTGGAAATCTGTTAATGTTTGATATCTGTTGATAGTTAAGAAACCAAGATGCTTCAGCTTTGTGTGATGTCCTTATTTTGTGATTTTTTAAATATTATTTGCTCTAGTGTGGTGTAGTATAAAGGATAATTAGCTTTTGCTAGAGGAAGAAATGTAAATGTTGGAGATCTGAAGTGAAAACTCCAAATGCTAGAAGTAGTCTAAACATCTGAACGAGAAGGATGGGATCATGTTTTGCATGTGACCTTTCATTTGACTTAAGTCTCTGCATTATCTGTTTTAACTTTTGGTTCATTTTAACAATTAAAATATAGTGTTAAAATTACAAAAATGAAAGCAGGTGTATGTTGGAAAATCCATATTTGATCTTGTGATATGTATTTGTTTAAAATGTTGCATGTCGTTTTCAGAATCTATTTGCACTGGCTGGAGATGAAGAATCGGAAGTTCGAAAAAATGTATGTCGTGCCCTTGTCATGCTGCTTGAAGTCCGAATGGATCGTTTGCTTCCTCATATGCGCAACATTATTGAAGTGAGTCTTTTTCAGATGTTTTGAAACTTCTTTTCTCTTTGTTTCTCCGTACTCCATAATTTGCATTTTAAATCCTGGTGACCTTGACAAAATTATCTGTGTGTGTGTGTATATATGTATATAATATATGTATTATATATAATATATATATAATACATGTATTATATATAATATATGTATATTTCCCCCTTTTTGAAGCATTTTGACTCCCTCCCCAACAAGTGGAAAGAAACCTATTGACTTCAACCTCAATTGAATCCCTTCATAATCTTAAAACACGTCTATCAAGTCCCATCTCAATTATCTCATCTCCAGAGGAAAGCGCTTTAAGCCGTTCAAATCTTTCTTGATAATTTTCATCCACTCATCCTGGCAACATCCTAATAAACCTACACTGTACTCCAATGCTACAATATCCTTCCTGTTGTATAGTGACCAGAACTGTACACAGTACTCCAGATAGGGGAAGTGGAAGCAAAAGATTATTCAAAAAAATTCATCATGATGGAACTTGATGGACTTGAAGGGTAAGCTTCGATGGGCTGAATGGCCCTTCCATCACCTGAGATTTTCTCATGTTATGATTTTTAAGCTTTATTTATTTATTCAATTGTAGTACATGCTGCAGAGAACACAGGATCAAGATGAAAATGTGCATTGGAAGCTTGTGAATTCTGGCTAACATTAGCTGAACAGCCCATATGCAAAGAAGTGCTTTCTGGACACCTAACACTGTAAGTAATGACTCATTGAGGACTATAAGCAGAACAAGATAAACAAAAATCTTTTCATTGTTCTAATGTCTAATATATATATGTCTGAAACCTGTTTCTTAGAGTTTTTGTGAACACTAATTTGTAAAAAAAACAAAAAGGCTTTAATCCTAATGTTAGAAATCTCCAAGGTGAATTGTAGCACCTTTCACGTCAGGTTGATGTCTGAAGACGCTGGACAGTCAGGAATCTGCACTCGAACTGGTGGTTGGGATCAGGAGGAGAGGAGGGCGGGTAGGTGTAGGAGGGTGACTGAAGACGCGGTCGAAGAGGAGTGTCTTGATACTGGTCTTGAAGGAGGGAAAGGGCAAGGCGGAGGGTCTGTGGGATGGAGTTCCAGAGGGAGGGGCCATAGAGGAGCCCGCTGAGCGGAGAGCGGGCAGGTTGGTTAGGGGTTAGGAGGTCATAGGGGTAGGGGGGAGCAAGACGGTGGAGGGCTTTGAAGGTGAGGATCAGGATCTTTGAATGATGGAGAGTCAGTGGAGCTGGAGCAGGATGGGTGTGATACAGTCACGGAGTCTGGTGTGGGAGAGGACACCGGCTGCAATGTTCTGGATGATCTGCAGCCTGTGGAGGGAGGAGTTGGGGAGGCCGACAAGCAAGGAGTTTGCGTAGTCGAGCAAAACTAATAGCAGAACAAACTGCTTCAAGGTGCATATGGTTGCTCTGACATCAGAAAATGTAATCATACTGAACTCTGTACACTGAAAGACTTGTTTTCATACCGTTTGTCTTAATTTCAGGTTAGTACCTGTTCTTGTGAATGGGATGAAATACTCAGAAATTGATATTATTCTGCTTAAGGTGAGTTAAATTTTTTATGATCTTCTATTTTTTTTTACTTACTTGTCTGAGTGCAAAATGGTCAGTTTCAAAACGTGAATAACGAAACACAATTTGTTTTGTCAGGGAGATGTTGAGGAGGATGAAGCTGTTCCTGATAATGAGCAAGACATCAAGCCCCGTTTTCACCGATCCCGAACTGTCGCGCAACAGCATGAAGAGGATGGAATTGGTGAAGAGGACGATGATGATGATGACCTTGATGATGATGATACAATTTCTGACTGGAATTTAAGTGCGTTTAATGTGGGATCACTTCTGCGGCTTATTGTCCTTCTTCTATTGCCAAGCTTTCATTGAAATGTTTACCCGATTTTAGTTTAGGAAGTTTATTCGGTGTTTCATTGAGAAGCTTAGCTTTGAGTTAAGTAAGTCGCTGAGCCTTACTGACCATCCAAGATTCAATTCCCCTTCCGTGGAAATGTAACTGTCGGCTGGAGAAACAGTAAGCTTGTATTATTGGCCTCAGCATCCATTTTTAGAGAGGTTCTTGCTCCTACTGCCATCTATTGTCTAGGCTGTTAAAGCACTGCCACTTTTACTGTTGAGGCAAATGCATGATGGATGTTTTGGGGGTAAGGTCATCAGAGAATGTGCAGTGCCCACAGAACTGTAGCCAAGTGAAAGAAAAAAGCAATCTATGACCTTAAGAATTGGAGACAAATATCTAAAATGTTGTTGTGGTTTGAACATAGTTATTCCATGATCCTTTAAAATGAAACTTGAGGCATAGGGATAATTAAGCAATGAGTGAAAGCCATATGATTGTTCTGAAAATTTATAATCTCCAACTTAATTTTCTATGTTTGAATCCATTTTGTATCCTTTTAGTTTAAAATAGCTATATCTACCTTAACTGCCTTTCCACAGCTTAAAGAGAGATATCAGTGTTTTCCCTCAATCTCTCCAAAGAAAAAATCAGCACTTCATAACCTGTACGTAAAGAAGAGAAATGTAACACTGATTTACTATGTCCTTTAGGGAAGTGTTCTGCTGCTGCACTGGATGTACTAGCTAATGTTTTCCGGGAGGAATTGTTGCCGCACATTTTACCGCTGCTGAAGGAGCTGCTTTTTCACCCAGACTGGGTGGTGAAAGAATCTGGAATTTTAGTTCTTGGAGCTATTGCAGAAGGTTGGTTGAAATTTAAGTCACTTTGAGAAAGTTGTTAAGAGGTTGCTTCTTGCTGATCTTATAAGTGTGGGGAAAATGCATTCAGTGTTTACTGTTGCAGAGATGTTGAATTAAGGTGTTTCCCCACAGCTGTGGGGAATTGGATAGTGACTCAACCTGGGTATTTTTTGCACCTTCTGTCCCACTTTGAGAAGCTTATACAACAACAACAAAATTACATTTGTATAGAGCCTTTCACGTTGGGAGGACGTCTCAAGGCACTGGAGGTCAATAAGTAGGTCTTCTGTTTGCCTTCTCAAGAAACAAATTAACAACTAACAGCTTCATTGTCGAGACTTACAGTGTAGTCTTGTTGCAACACACTTCACTATAAAGCAAATTTGCTTTTAATGCAGTTGCTCTGCAGACTCATTTCACTGTTCACAAAACCAGACAGCTCAGTTGTTTTCTGCATGCTGGCTCACTTTTCACACTACTGTCTCTGATTTCTGGATCCTTAGGTCACCTCAGACTTCATTTTCTGCACAAGTGCAAAGCAGGAAGCAACATGGAGGCAGCCATTTTAGTTCATCTGTGTCACCGATAACACTTCCTGTTTTGTGCATGTGCAGTAACTGATGTTGGCAGGGACCTGATGAACCAGAAGTTGCCTATTTTTTGTACTGGGAGAACCAGTCACTGCGCAGGAGGCAGGTTAGCTAGTTGTGTACATGAGAGGTAAAATGTACTGTTGGACCACTCTAATGTGAGTTGGGATTTTATGGATTCCATCCCATGTTAAATCTACGCAGCACTGTGAATTGTGTTTTATATTGTTTCGATCACTGATTTCTAACATGATTTCTTTTCCTTCCAACTTTTAAACATTAGATTAGAAATCATTATTGGAACATTTTTCATGTAACCTGATAGTTAATCCATCAATTTACTATACCATGGCTGAAGACATGGTATTTTATCATAACTTTATGATCTCATCTGGCCTGTTCATTGGGTTCCGAAGCAAAGCGCAACTTCTCCCTCGACAAATAGATGGCAAACTCATTCCTCTTCAAATGTGTTCCACTTAAACTACCTTATGGTGGTCAGAGGTTTGTTAACAGGTCAGGGAGAACTACACATATTTTCCATGCTGGGGGGAAGGAGGCAAAAGAAAATCAATAAATTATTTTTTTAATTTAAATTTAAAATATTGATTTTTTTTGAGTGGAAACAGCCACGAGAGACAACAATTGTTGATCGACCAGAAAAGTAGCACTATTTCATTTCTTTTTATAACTTTCCAGGGATTAATATTTTTAAACTTTCATTCTCCAGGTTGTATGCAAGGTATGATCCCTTACCTGCCAGAGCTCATCCCTCACCTTATTCAGTGCCTCTCTGACAAGAAGGCTCTTGTGCGTTCCATCACCTGTTGGACCCTCAGCCGCTATGCACATTGGGTAGTAAGTCAGCCCCCAGACACCTATCTGAAGCCATTAATGACTGAACTTCTTAAACGCATCTTGGACAGCAATAAGAGAGTGCAAGAGGCTGCGTGCAGGTTTGTATTAATGGGTATCAGTATTAATCCTTTATAATGTTGGTTTGAAGGTATGGTGGAGTTAATCACTCTGCTGCAGCCTGGGACAAAGTTGTGGTCAGAAAACACCATTTATTCTGTTCTTTAAAATTTTATATTAGGAACCCGTGAACAGAGGAACAGGCAATAACATTACAACTGGAAATAACATTACAATTTTACTTAATATTTCACAAAACATAGGTTCATTCATTCAGTCAGTGAAAAATTAATTCTGTGCAAAAAGACTTGATGTGTGGTGGTCTTAGCTTTATCAGGTAGACTGAGAAGGTCAGAGGATTATTCTATTGAGTGTTGGATAACTAAAAGGTTTCTTTTATAAAATCACTCATCACACCAGGACTTTTGCACAACAGAAAAATGACATCTGAATTTAAAAAAATTCCATAAACCTGTACAATCTTAAATTTTAAGTCAGTTACAATGCCGTTTACATTTTTATGGTGCCTTTCTTATTGGTGGAAGTCCCAAAGCGCATTCACAGTGCTGAATATGCACCCTGGTTGAGGTGGGGGCGGGAAAGATGATTGAAAGCTCGGTCAAAAAGTATATTTATTATATTTATCATATATATATATATATATATATACCTTGAAATGAGTCAGAGAGACTCTTGGATGGGTTCCAGAGAGCAAAGGAAGAATGCCTGAATGCCCGCCTACTGATGGTGAAACAGATAGGGCAGAGGACATGAAGCAAGCTGGTGCTTGCTGAATGAAACAACCAGGTCAATAGAGTTGAAGGAGGTTGCACAGGTAAGGTGGGGCAAGAGCATGGAGGGATTTAAAGGTGAGACCTAGGACCTTGAACTTAATCTATTGGGAGGACAGCAACAACGCAGCGCCTAACAATAGTAATAGGCTCATGGAGTCTAAAAACCAAATGGTTTTACAGGTATTGTTAAAGGTATTTTGTTGTTATAATTTATTTAAAATATAATGCGTTTTTCTTAAGCTGTTACCTACATTAGATTTGATTTTACTAGAATGCTCATGTTCTAGAGCATTTTTTGTAGAAGAAATGAATGTCTAGTGAGTGATAGGACGGGGTCAGTCAGTCTAATTCTCAACTCTGAAATGTGCATTTAATAACGTGACATTTAATGTTGAACAAATGACCTATATGTAGGAAATTCTAAAATATCTACAACAACAACAAAATTACATTTGTATTGAGCCTTTCACTTCGGGAGAACGTCCCAAGGCGCTGGACAATTCGTGTTTCGGACCATACTCAGTAGATATGCTCTGCTCTGGCTTGTGTGATTGAAGAAATCTGTTTTTTATAAACATATTGATTTCAATAATTGCATTTTCAATATGCTTCACACTTGAGCAGTGCGTTCCACATAGCATCCATCAGTGTAAGAAGTGCCATGTCACCAAATTTGAGAAAATCTGGGTGACAGAGTGTTCCAGTGTTTTGTACAGTTGATATGCTCATGGTGAAATAATAACTTTTCAGTTCCTTGATTTCTAAGTACAGTAGAACCTCACTAATCAGGTCACTCAAGTGACTGGGCAAAAGTGACCTACTTAGTGAGGTGACCTGATTACTGAAACAGGTCAGGTAATTCAGGTCACTGGTGTAATGTTAAGGGCATTGGTAATGAGTAAGGGTGATGAACATTCAACAACTATATTTTCCAATCTCATTAAAATAAAGGCGTTGTCACATTTAAAACAGATCTTGGGGTTTAATATTTAAAGTTCACAAGAGAAGTTAAAATCACACAAATATTCATTTTGTGAAGAGAGTCCAGTGTTGTTTGCCTGGCTGCTGATTTAACCTGCACTGCCTTGGCCAGTAGCTGACCCTCAGCATGAGCCAAAGTTTGCCACACGTCGAGTCCATGATCAAGGCAAAAGTCCTTCACTTGTCGCAACAAGCCCAGTGCATCAGCATAAGGATTCTTTGATGTTGTCGGTTGTTCTTCCTGTTCCTTCTCCTGTGTATTCTGTTCCTTAGTGTTCCTGGTAGAAACTCCTCCATTAGACGCTCCTCCCATCCCTCATTTAAGTCCTCGGTGGTGGATACATCACTGTCGATGGTTGCGTACTCCTCGGCACTGAGGATAGGGGTGTTTCGTGACAGGCACTGACTGGCCTGAGACAACAACTGGGCATCATCATCAGGGTCCTCCTCCAGAGGCTCATCCACACTAAAGCAGGCCTTGGCAAAGTACTTCTGCACTATTGATCGACACACCGTGCTGACTGCTGAATTGATCCAGGTGACTGCATGAAGATCATTGATGGATTTGAGCACTTGTGAAGCCTGCACAAGTTTGGCCATTTCTCCAAGAACCTCCTCCTGTAGTGCATCTTGACATTCTGGATGATGCCCTGGTCAAGGGGCTGGAGAATGGATGTGGTGTTAGCTGGGAAAAACACTAACTTGGTTAGAGTAGAAATGCTGTGAGGGTGCGCTGGGGCATTGCCCAGAAACAGCAGCACATGCCTGCTCTGTGGTTGCTTTCTATTGAAGGTCTGAAGCCATTCTGTAAAAATAGCATTGGTCATCCATGCCTTTTTGTTGCTGTACCACGTGATGGGAAGCTGAGTCTTTATGTTCCAATTCCTAAAGGCATGGGGCTTGGCAGGCTTCACAATCACAGCTGTCCTTTCAAAATCTCCCTCAACGTTGATTGTCAAAGACATGGTGATGCAGTCTTTTAATTTTTTCCCACCAGTGTAACCATCACCACAAACTAAAAGGCCCCTGTCAGGGAGAGCCCTGAAAACAACATCAGATTCATCCATGTTAAATTTGTCCTTAGGTGCATAGCCATCTGTAATCTCAGGGAGTTTCTCCTTCCGGTTGTCAACAATAGCAGACTCAATATCACCCTTTTCCCCAGACACAATTGCAGACCCAATGTTGTGTCTGGACTTGAAACGGCCAAACAAGCCATTTGCTGCCTTGAAACCAATCTTGCCAAGTGATGCTGCAAAGCTGAGTACTTTCTCCTGTATCATAAGGCCAGACACAGGCATGTTGAGACCACAGGCATGCTGGAACCACTCCCATATCAGTTTATCATTGTCATCATACTGAGAGTTCAAATACAAACATTTTCTATCAGGTTGGGGGTGGGTTTGATGGTGGTTTTTGTGGGTGAGTTTATTGGTGGTTTATGTGGGTATTTCTGAGGAAGTACTTCTGTCAGCCAGCGATTATAAATAGAATGTGTGCTATCAACCGCAGTGGTTGTTTCCCTGCTGCTGATAAATTTAAGTTGTTACAGGTAAGCAGTGTTTTGCAAATGGCAATCTGCAAATTTTCACAATCATTGGGGAAAATATATTTCTGTCCACTGCATGTAGAAAGCCCTTGTTATACTTATAAACTTCTATTTCTACCTAGTAAGATATCTATAGGTGACTCAGCTCCCCTTATTCAGCACCTTGGGACATCCTCCCGACATGAAAGGCACTATACAAATGTAATTTTGTTGTTGTTGTTGTTACTGAGTGTTACCTTGTTGCTGTAGAGATCCTATTTACCTCTCCACCAGACAGGATAATCATAGTCTTAAATATTCTTAATTAGGCATAGTCTTAAAATGAGAACCAGGCCATTCAAGAGTGAAGTCAGGAATCATTTTTTCAATTAAAGGGTGGTACAAATCTGGAATTCGCTCCCCCAAAAGGCCGTGGATACTGGAACAATCCACACCTTCAAGAGTGAGGTTGATAGATTTTTTGTAGGTTAGGGTATTGAGGGATATGGGAGAAAGCGGGAAATTGGAATTGAAAGGATTAGTTGAGGTACAAATCAGTCATGATCTAATTAAATGGTGGAACAGGCATGAAGGGCTGAATGGCCTCCTCCTGTTCCTATGTTCCATACATTGACTGTGAGATTACTTGATGAATGCATGTTTGTGTTCTTGCTAGTCAGATAGATGATAACAGGAACTCCTACATCGTATGGTTCTTTTGATTATGTGATCTATCCATTCATTAATCAAGTATTTGATTCCAACCTATTCAGAACTCCGCCACCTGTATCCTCACATGTACCACACACACCCTCACCCACACACACACACACACATTCCCTCACACTCATCCACACACACACACTCCCTAACTTTGCACCTCCGTATCACCCCAGTCCTTGACAGGCTGCATCGGCTCCATTTCAACATCCTTACTCTTGCCTACAAATCACCTCATGCCCTGGTATCTCATTACCTCTCCACACACGGCACTCAGCCAACTTGGCCATCTTTCACTCCACCCGCAGCACATAGACCTTTAGCCACCTCATCCCAAACCTCTGGAACTCCGTGCCTCAAATCACTCCGCCTTGCCCCCTCTTTGCCCATCTTCAGTCACACCTGAAGACTTTCCTCTTCAACCGTGCTGATGGTCACCTCCCCTTTCTCCCAGCTTGGTGTCAATCTCTGCTAAGATGCTGTGTGAAGGGAGCTATATAAAAGCAAGTCGTCGTAGTTTTTATCATCCACACAACCTTCAAGATTTGTGATGTCAGAGATGTTAATTCTAATAACAATAAACTGATCAAACGTGGCTGAGACTGACTTCTACCTTGTGTGATGATGCAAAGCTGAGTCGCAATGAGAGTAGGCTACAAGTGTATATCATTAATTGTAAATCTTGTTGCATCTAAGCCAATGGTGGCCAACCTGTGGCCCACAGGGCTCAGGAAGCGGTTCCCCAAATACTTGCACAATTCTAGGTAAGTATTCGATTGGTAGTGTGTTTTCAGTTTTTTCTTGAATGAATAATTCTTGATTCATGGCTTATTCAATGAAGAAAATTTTATTTTGTTAACCGACCATCGATGTTGGCCACCAACTGATCTGAGTTATAATTCAGTGCAGCCATGTACAAGTCTTCTGAGATTTATTTTTAAAAAAAGCAGATCTCCTAGAAGCTGATATAAACTATCTTGAGATAAACTGAGCCAGATGAAAAGCGAGTTCCAATCTGTTTGGAAGAATTATAGCTTTCAGGTAGAGCACATACATTTCAGAACTCTGAAACTCCCTGCCTAAAGATTTGCATACATTTCGCCCACACATATACTGTCAATTCACTTTACAGTCTATTCTGTGAAGTGCTTTGAGATATCTGCAAGACGTGAAAAGCGCTATATCAAATGCAAGGATTATTATTACATAATTTATAACATCAAAACATTTTGTTTCAATTTTTGTTGCAGTGCTTTCGCTACCCTAGAAGAGGAGGCTTGCACAGAGTTGGTGCCGTATCTTGGCTACATACTTGATACACTTGTCTTTGCTTTTAATAAATATCAGCATAAAAATCTTCTGATTCTGTACGATGCTATTGGAACCCTGGCTGACTCAGTAGGACACCATTTAAACAAGCAGGTGAGAGAAAGTAGTTGTGGAAGAACTGGATATACATTTATATGTTTTGCAGTCATTTTTTGACTGCTTGATGCATATTTAATGTCCAAATGCTATAATACTGTACATCAAATAGATACTTTTAAACAATTTGATGCTGAATTTATTTTGTTATTAACCCATAGGTTTTTTTTCTTTAGTCCTTTTAAAAATTTTAATTTCTCTATTTTTAAAAAAATATGGTTGTGAGAAAAGAGAAATAAAAGTCAATTTTTATAGCGCCATAATGTGTCAAAAATGCCTCAAAGTGTTACCATCAATTTGCAGGCAAATGTAGCAGCCGTTTGCGCCAGCAAAGCCTCAATACAGCCATGAATTGGTGAATTGCCCAACATTGTAGTGTGTTGTTGGCCAAGGCATCAGGAGAAACTCTTTATTTTCAAATAATTATGATGAGATTTTTAACACTCATTGCAAACTGAATTAAGCACCTTGTGGGGAGGTTGTGGGCATGATGTATTTGAAATAGCACCTTAGAATTTTATGCAGATCTTAAGTCTTGCGTTGCGGTAATTTAGACCACTCATTTTATTTCCTTTGTGGAATATATGGAATATCCCCTTTTAAAATTTATAATGTGTTTAGTTTATACACACACAAAATTAATTATTTGCCTATCTCAAAAGGAATACATTCAGATGCTGATGCCTCCCCTCATTCAGAAATGGAACATGTTAAAGGATGAAGACAAAGATCTTTTTCCCTTACTTGAGGTGGGCGGAAACCTTTGTAATATATTTGTGCGTGAAAATGTTGCTGATCCTTATTTGCTGTTGTTTATAGTCAGAAAGTAAAAGATCTTTGTTGTGCTAAACATTAATGGAATGAATGGAATTCATTCACAATTTGGTACAGTATTTTGAACTTCATATGGGAAGATGCCTGCTGAAATTAAGAAACCTGTTTATCACTTATGTGATGTATTTGTTCATATGTACGTTTCTGCTAGAATTCTAACAATCTTAAAAAAAGTTCAATTTTAGCTATCTGCACATAGTGTACTCATGTTACTTTCAAATAGTAAGATTCTTCTTAATATTGATACTCATGAGGCATGAATATTACTATTATTTTTTGACAATGTTCTGGACCCTAGACTGTATTTTACATGAGGAAGCCATATATATTTGCAATAAGGAATTGTTCACTGAATTTCCTATTTATATTTTATTTGAAATAGCATTATAAATAACTGAATAATTATAATTAACTTGTGTGTTGCAGTGCCTGTCCTCTGTTGCCACTGCCTTGCAGTCTGGCTTTCTTCCATACTGTGAACCTGTATACCAGCGTTGTGTCAACTTGGTTCAAAAGACACTTGCACAAGCTATGGTAAGTATTGTAAGATATAAGAAAAAAATGTCAAAGGTGGAAAATGCTAGGGTCCAACAGCTGCTATTATTCAATACTTTTTTTACAATATCTAATTCAAGCAGCAATTAATCAGTATTTCAGTAATTTTTTTTATAGTTGACCATTGAGAAAACTGAGCATTTTTTAAATGCTTACTATAATTGGCAAAATATTGCATGGTCATGAGGACCCAGTCCACTTTTACTACTTCTATACATATTTCAGCATGGACTGGGAAATCAATTCAAGCCACACCACCATTATAGATGTCTTTCCAGCATCCGGGGACGTCTTTCCGACGGGAAGGGCACTATAGATATGTAATTATTGTTGTTGTTAAGAGCTCCGAGACTACCTGCGTGAAGGGCCCTATACAAACGCAAGTGGTTGTTGTATTCACTTTGTGGTTTGACTTCGTAGAATATAATTGTTGTCTGCAATATTGGTGTACTAAACAATTAACAAGCAAAGAACATGTGGCCTGTTAAAGCCATTCCTACCACCAATACAATACAATATGCAATACATCCCACTCAATCAATAACCTGAGGGAGAGTTTTGTATGAATATTCCCTTCCTCCCAAATTGCACAAGCACCACTACAATTGGAGTTTATTTGGTTAAAAGTCCCAAATCCCTCTCTGCATCATCACTATTGAATCCTGATCTCCTTGCCCTGTCTCAGTAAAATGGGAACCATTGAATCACATTATATTTGTTCATCAAATCTCTAGCTCAGGTGCTCATCCAGCACCATAAAGTGCTGGGACATCATAACAACGTGAAAAGCGTTATCAATGTAAATTGTAATTGTATTTGTGCCCGTCCTTTTACTCTAATAATCCCGACTAGTTATTTGTCCTCTTTTTGACGAAGTTAATTGACATGTTATCAACTGCTTTTCGTGGAAGTTTGTTCCTAGGATTATTATTCATTTCCCTATTATTTCATGTTCATGTGAAGCAAGCCTGAAAATAAGCCTCCATCCTCCAGTTACCTACTGTTTTACATCTACATCATCTGTCTCTTTCAACATTTCCATAACCTTTCCCGTCAGTCTTATTGATAGAAACAAGCGCGTAGAACTTGTAGTTCTAATTATGTTGAACTCTGTTTCAGTTACATGGTGCACAGCCTGACCAGTGTGAAGCTCCTGATAAAGACTTCATGATTGTGGCTCTCGATTTGCTTAGTGGTTTGGCTGAAGGACTTGGAGGAAACATTGAACAACTAGTAGCACGGAGCAATATTTTATCATTGATGTACCAGTGCATGCAGGTAAGAAAATGTACATTTTCAATATAAATAAATTCTCTACCACATACCCAATAAAGCAGCGGAGACTCGTTTATTTTTTGTTTTTTAGGATAAGATGCCAGAAGTGCGACAGAGTTCTTTTGCCTTGTTGGGTGACTTGACTAAGGCTTGTTTTCAGCATGTGAAACCTTGTATTGGTATGTAGTTGTTTTGTTCACTTAATTTGTTCAGTATTTTCATTAGGTAATAAATATAAAGGTTGTGACTCACAAACATGTTTGATTAAAATGTGACTCGTTTTATCACGTACTCTGTATTTTGTCTTACAGCTGATTTCATGCCGATTCTTGGCACCAATCTAAACCCAGAGTTTATTTCAGTGTGTAATAATGCCACTTGGGCAATTGGAGAGATCGCCATTCAAATGGGTTAGTATTGGTTAGGACATTCTTGTCAGGCTGAATGTGGCAGAATTGTAGATCTTTCCCATCCAATATATACAGTATAATTATATATTACAAAATTGGATCTGTGTTCTCTATTATCCTATTAATTGAAATACAGTATTACCAAAATAATTTTTTGTGACACACTGGGATCGTGACAGGATTTCTAAAAGTTACAGGACTTACAAATACCCATTTAAGAGTTCATTTAAGAAAGCCATTTAGTTTTTATACTTGTATACTTTCTTTCCCCATTTTATTGATTTGTTTTAATTCCAAGTACTGAATTCCATTTATTCAAAACTGAATTTCCATGCATAACAGTTTACCTGGAGGTATAAATAAACACTGAACGTTATTCATATCTGTCAGGTTATGCAAATAATTTCTTAAGGGAAAAAAATCCATATCTTGTAAACTCCTACCTGTTCTTCACCCTTCTCTTCCCCTTATCTGTCTTCATATCACCTTCCCGTCCCAATAAATTGACAATCGATGATTTAAAATAATTGTACTGGATAACAATGACTAATGTAATTATAAACTTTTTGTTTCAATCTTAGGGATCGAAATGCAGCCTTATGTTCCAATGGTTTTACACCAGCTAGTGGAAATCATTAATAGACCTAACACACCAAAGACATTATTGGAGAATACAGGTAACTCAAAACAGTGGTTTCCATAATGTATAATTTATAGTGGATGTATCTACAGTTTTTAGATTAGATGTTTCAAATATATTTTTAGATGTTAAGGTTACGTTTTTCTGAGCTGTATAGATTTAGTGTTCTGGCTATTGACAAGACAGCGCTGATCTGCTGTCTGCAGTGCATCAATTGAAATATTGATTTTGTCTGGCTTTGATATAATTGGACTGCCTGCTTAAAGCAAGATGGAACTCTACAAACTAAAATGTCCAAATGATGATTATACATATCGGGGCCACCCTGTCAATAGACTGCTTTTAAATTAGTTCATAAAGCACTAAATGTTTAATATTGGCTGTTAAAATCTCACTGCTTATTTGATGCATAATGTGTTTACAAGCCTCAAATTTCAAAATGTCAAATGAGATTAAGATGTTGCATATAACAGAATAATTTGAGTCTAGTTCAGTATAACTTGCAAAATAAACATTTGTGTCTGTGTAACAATAGTATATATTAGCTTGGGTTTGCTTTTCCAGAATTAAATCATTATGAGTTTCTTTCGCAAAAATTACAAAACCATTTGCTAGAACAAAAAGAGGAAATAATTTCCTTCTCCTCTCCCAGTAAAAATATTGACTGACAATGGATCCAGTAATTATTAGAATATTAATGCGATGATTAAAGATTTGAAAAATATAAATTACTTAGGCGTTTTGGATTATTTTGAGGCTTGTACTTGGAACAAGCTTGTTGATGAGCTGCCAGATGTATGAGCTGCTAGATCAGAAAAGATGAAGCCATACAACAACAACTTGCATTTATATAGCGCCCTTCACGAGGGGTATTGTCCCGGAGCGCTTGACAGTGGCGGAGTCTGACCCCAAGCCAGGGGGAGAGGGAGGGAGGAGATGACCATAAGCATGATCGAAAAGGAAGGTTTTTGGGTGGGATTTGAAGGTGGGGAGGGAGGGGGCAAGTCGGAAGAATTGCAGGAGAGAGTTCCAGAGTTTCAGGGCGTAGAGGCTGAAGGCGTGGCTACCGATGGTGGAGTCGAGGGGGCAGGGGACAAACGAGGTCGGAGGCAGCGGGCGGTGAAATAGGGGTTAAGCAGATTGGACAGATAGGTGCCAGGACATGAAGGGATTTAAAAACAAGTGAGGATCCATGAAAAGCCATGAAAAATGTCTCTTGATAGACGAGTTAGTTTTTTTTAAAAAAATGCACAAACTCCAATTCAGTAGGGAAAATGGATACTTTGGATAACGATGATAATGGCATTTTAATTGTGTATAAATAAACTATTGCTGTACCAAAAAAGTAGGAATGGTATATTTTATTCAAACAGTGCTGAGAATTAACTACATTTTAGCTACATTTACAATTAGAAATTTATGACAAAGTACTGATGCTGCATGATTTAAAAACAATAATTCTAGTTCTTGTGATTTTCCGGTCAAAAATGTCTAGCAGCGGATCACTGAGCATCATTAAAGTGATCTTGAGAAAAAATGCTCTCACTAGAACTCTTTATCAAATTCTGATATTTATAAAATGACAAATTGTTTCTCCAAATTAATTTGTATTTTTAATATATTCTGTTATACGACTCTTGTTTATTTAAAACAGTTTTAAAAGTACGAGACATACAAAATAATCACTGTTTTGATCCTGGGCACCTGACATAATACAGCAGCACTCCATTAGTTTATGTTGTTGAGTTATGTATCCATAGTCCTGCTTCTGTGCTGGTTAATGTATACTCAGGAGAAAGACATTTATATTGTTTACAAGCTTGTTCCTGTTTATTATTATTATGTAACGTTTAGGTTATTTAAAATGTTGATGCATGTGACAGCAAGGCACTACACAGCAGCATTAAATGTATCCAAAATGTTTAATGCAGGATAACTGATCTATTTACCTTGCTAAATATGCTACGATTTTGTCAGAAAATATTCAAAAGTTCAACAGTTCTTTGCTAAAGCATTTTTGTGTAAATCTCTGTCTGAATGTGAAGCAACACTTAATGTTTTTTTTCATTTGCAATTTCTAAAATGTATCAACACTTCCCCATTGTTGTGTGTGTGTATTCTATGTACAAGCTGTAAACATTTTCCTCGCTCTTATTCCTTATTCTCAATCTTGTAACACTGCACATAAAAAAAAGAAACTTCCAGTTTGGCATAACCCAGCACCTGAAAAATATATCCTATACTTTGTCAGTCAAAATTAGTTTTTATTTCAAGCCAGTATATTCTCCAAACAAAATCCTATTTGAAATGTTATTAAATTTTGCAGTATTTGTTCATTGGCAACTTGCATGTTCCCCAACGTGCAAGGAGCAGTTTATTACACTTAGCATAACTTTTGTGCAGTTTGATCAGTATATCCTACACTGAACTTTATTTTGAATGAACATTCATCTGCTTTTCTGCACGTCTCATCAGATTGTTCACGAATGCCTGTTTTAATGAGAATGTTGCATAGTTTGTGTCTCTTGAACATAGGTTTCCCTTCTCTGTGCTATATGAATCTGCTGGATTTTTGGTAGCATCCTTGTAGTTAGCTTGGAGTAATCCTTGAGCCATTCCTCTTTCCTTCTGGAAGATTAACTTTGTGAGTTTAAAGGGGAACACTTCAAAACCATCTTTCTATTTGTGTGTTCATTTCCACACTTTTATTTATGTAGTCTGAATTTTTGAACATTTTAACAGAACTTGGGATGAAAGCTTTTGAGAAGGAAACAAGAGGTGTCTGAACTAAAAAAGCCTCTTGTACATTCAGATCAGGAAAATGTGGCCTGGTTAATATTTCTTTACCTGCTTCCTGGTATTGCTAGGTTTTAAGAAACCTATCCACTGTGCCCTACCATTTCAAGGCTTAAATTTATTGAATCCTAAAACATTTTCTTAATTCCTTTGCCATATATAGGGCATGGATCACTAGGTTAGTAAAGTGTTTACTATTTGCTAATCAAAATAAATTTGATAATACTCTTAACAATGATAAAGTAGAGTTTTGCATTATAATGGTAATGCAAAATGGATAGAATTTGGACTAATTTCCTTATTGTCCTTCGATATTTCTTTGATTCCTTTGAGTGCAGGTTTGATAAAATCATTTGAAGAGAAGGAGACTAAGTTTAAACATTTTTGGAAAGACATATTTGCATGTATCCCCACAAAAGTGTTTTTGTAGAAATGGCTCATCTACAAATAGAGGAGCATTGCTCTGATACATAGGCACCCTTTTTGAAAAAGGTAAGTTTAAAGCTCAGGTGTGTTTTGTGAGTGTTCCCACTTTAACGTGTTTGAGTTTTTTAATTTATTTTATATTATTTTATTAAAGATTGCACCATAACCTTCGTCTCCCTTTACTGGGTCTAGTTAAATCTAATAAACACACACACAAAAAAAAAAAATGATCTTAATTTTGTTATCATACACAGATTCTGTTGATTTCTGTTTCTGAGTTATTTGTTGTTTTTTCTTTATTTTTCTCCTCCCCCTCATTTGCTCATGTCTTGGTTGGCGTTTGGTGGTGTATAACCGTGATTGCGTTACCGTAGCAATAACAATTGGTCGTCTTGGTTACGTTTGTCCTCAAGAGGTGGCCCCCATGCTACAGCAGTTTATAAGACCCTGGTGTGTATTATTCAATCTTTATTTAATTCATTTTCCTCTTCACTCTTTCACTATCTCTTTCTCACTTAGAAATAGTTTTCAGTTGATTGCAAATTCACAATCCTTAACCATTGCCCAACCATGTGACTAATCTTGTCCTATCAGGTTCGTGATTTTCTTTTCAGTCGCACCGTCATGTTATATATTTTATTTTATGTTGTGGCTAACAACTAACTGATGCATGGGATAAGATTGTCACATGCTTGCTGTATTGGAAGGCTTGATTACGAGTCGAAAGTTATTGAGTAAATTTCCATCAGAATGATAAATTGCATGCAGAAATCTGAACTCTAAAAGTTATACTGTTTTTGAAACGTACTTGTTCTGAAATTATAGATTTTAAGGTCAGACACTTTGCTTGCAAACTGTGGAAGCCATTTGTTGTATTATAAAGTATAATACAGCTTTTATGAAAACCAGCTTGTGTACCACCTTGTCGTATATTCAGTCATTTGTCTTTCACATGCTGCTTCTTAAAATTGAATGGCTAAAGTAAATATTGTTTTACTGAAAAAATTGATAGTTCTGACAAAGGGTGGCATTGTTACAATTTTAGCTTAGTTTAAGCATTCTTTAAGATAATGTTTGATTTGAAGTGTTTGATGGAATATTCAAGTCATACAAATGACTGCAATGGAGTTGTTTTAACTCTTAATAATGTGAAATCGATTGTTTTGTGTTAGCCATTGTCCATAAATTGTGTTTAATGCTGAAGAATACTTGGATGTGCTCAACCACCAATTCACAAATAAAGTGGGGGAGAACCTAACAGTTAAAACAAGTGGAGAATTAATTGGTACAATATTTCCAAAAAGGAGAGAAAAATCTGAATTCATGATGCATATGTGATGTATCAAATTGTCCCTTTAAATGATAACAAACAAATTTTTGTGAAGGTAAATTTATGAACAGCTAAATGAACTCTTATTCCATTAAATATTGTAAAGAGATCCATTTTGTGCTGTATAATAATTGATTGAAATGCATTTGCATATAATCCCAATTTATACATAACCTTTTTAACACTATTGAACAGGTGTACTTCACTACGCAACATAAGGGATAATGAAGAGAAAGATTCTGCTTTCCGTGGCATTTGCAGTATGATCGGTGTCAATCCAGGAGGAGTTGTACAGGTGATACATTTATGAATGTGTAGTAAATGTATGGTATTTTTTAATAATTATTGTGTACGTGACGAGACTGAAGGTAGAAAAACAAACTTTTAACATTTTCTTGTCCCGACCTTTCATCCATCACACTAGCCTTTGCCATGCTCCACTGATTCTCAATTATCGAGCAGATCAATTTAAATCGTTTTCAAATCCCTTCATGCCCTCGCACCTCCCTACCTATCCGATTTGATTAGCCCCCACTCCATCCGCTGCCTCCGCTTGGCTGGCTCCGGTCTCCTGTTTATTCTTCGTCCCCTCCACTCCACCATGGATGGCCGTGTCTTTGGCCACTACTCCCCAAAACTCTGGAAATCTATCCCTCAATCCCTCCACCTTGCCCCCTGGCTCGGCGTCAGATTCCATCAATGTCAAGTGCTCCAGCTATCCCCGTGAAGGGTGCTATATAAATGTAAGTTGTTGTTGCTGAAATTGTCCCAAAATACCCATTAAAAACAATGCCGCAAGACTTCACATTGTGTAACTTGAGTTATGTTGTCAGTATTTTTAAAGCAATTTCCTAATTCTCGGCATGAAGCTTAAAATATACTGGCCTATTTGTTGTAAATAAATTGCTTGAGTTGCCAAATAAAGTATGCTCGTGATCGGTGGAACTTGTCATGGTGGTCATTGGGTATGATTCCACGGATATGGAGAACCTTGTTTCAGGTGCAGAGTACCCTTCATTGTATTCTCTCCAAAGCCAAGATATCCTTATGGCAATACAGTGGTCAGAATTGTGCTCAGTACTCCATGTGCGGCTGGACCAGTGCTCTATAAGTTCACTATTACTTCCTATGAATTGTGCTCTGTTCCTTTATCTATACGCAAAATATTTATTGCATCATTAATGCCCCTGCACACTATGCCGATCGTTTCAGCAATCTATTCAATAGTAGTGAAACATTGAAGTACACATCTGCATAAATAAAATATATAAAACCATAAAAATCAATTGTTAATAATTAGTGTGTTTGGTTCAGTAGGTGGGATTCTTTGTCAATGCAGTATGCTATATTTTCACATATATAAATTATTTATATTTCTTTCTCCATCTGTAATATTGATCGTTTTTTTATTAAATAGCTTTATACTGCATCATTTCCTTATCCAATGCATATTTCCTCCATGTCCTATTTCATGTAGATTCGAAATTTGTCGCACGTTGTTTTTCATACTTGTGAGGTGCAGATCTCTTAGCTCACGTACTCAATATGTTCATGCAGACATCAGCTTCTAATTTGGCTCTTGAAAATTTTGATTTAATTTGCATCAATATTATAAGTAGGCGTTTTACCCAGGTGTTAGTTTAAAACAAGGTGGAAATGTAAGTGTATTGCACGCGTATCTTGATAGTGCACATGGCATGAGAAAAGTCTTTATGAATATCAAACTTTTTTGGACTGTATTGATGGGATCAATTGGTGATTTTTAGTCTGCTTAGCACTAATTGCATATAACAGATGTAAATTCCCTTTTGGAAAATATGATGTTGGCTTGAAACATGCTATTTTCAACCTGATATAAAAATGACCAACTCTCAAAAATTAGCCCTCAATTGAGATAGAGATCAGGAAACTATTCAGTTTGTAATGGAGTTGGTGCAAGCCTCTGGCACCTGTGGTTGCTTTACTGTTTTGACAAGGAAACCAAGACAAATAGTGAGATGCAAGTAAGTGCTGTACAAGTAGAAAACTTGCTTCCTGATCTTGTACCCTACTTGAACAAACTTTTAATGCTTGTTTGAAAAGTGACAATATTGTTGAATGAAATGTTTTGTATAATAAAGTTTTTATAAAAAAAAGTTTATGAATACTATTTGGATAGATGTTTCATTTGAAGCAGGCTGTTTTGATTTTTTGCTTGATTTTTTTGTGTCACATTCTTAAGATTTTAGGCTTAAATTGCAACAATTGTTCTGTTTTTACAGGACTTCATTTTTTTCTGTGATGCAGTTGCATCATGGATTAGTCCAAAGGATGACCTCAGAGATATGTTCTACAAGGTAAATTTTTTTTTTGTCTTATGCAATAGCATATAGAAAAGAAATAGAGCAAGCACCTCCAAATTGTTTGACTAGCTCTTTAAAGATGCCTAAATATGCCATTCAGAAACAATGATGTTGGAACATTGTGCTGTTTTGAGAGGTAAATCACAAGCAATTAGGGTTAGGGTTAGATTATTCTTTTTATTCTATGCACTGATATCACAATATCAGAAAGCCTAGTTCTAAAGGTAAAGCAACTAAACAATTAATATCATTTGTTATAATTTCAGATCCTTCATGGTTTTAAAAATCAAATTGGGGATGAGAATTGGAGACGTTTTTCAGACCAGTTTCCACCACCTTTGAAGGAACGCCTTGCAGCCTACTATGGAGTCTAACTGTGTATGCTGTTGTCATCCTATAATCAGGGTAATTTCTGTAGAAATATTTGCTTTGAATGTGATTTGCTGTCCTTGTTTGTTTACAGCATCAACCTCTTTCTCTTTCTCTGTCTACAGGTCTTTCAAGATGGGAAGGCCATAGGGAGCCTCTGCACCCAGGGAAAAAAAAAAGTACCCTTTACTGGGGGGGAAGGGTAACCAGTAGGACATATAGTACAATCCCAACCCTACTGGGACGGGTGGGAGGGAGGTGTTTAGCCGTCGCACTGTTCAGTCGACATTGGGGGAAAGTTGAACCCCTGAAGCCTTTATCGATGGACATTTGTCTCTTCTTTTTAGAGCTCTACACCAGAAGAGAAGAAACAAAGGAAGACATCTGATCCAAAAATATCATATTTCTGATTAGGGGGAAATGCAACAAAAGCAGGAATTGTAGGCTTCAGATGGGGGGTTAAGTGCAGAGAGAAAATCGTAATCATTAGGTTAAAAGTTGGCAGCCAGAGACGGGGGGGTTTACAAACTAAGGCTGAAGGTAAGAATTAAGGAACACACTCGGGGATTAATAGGTATTTGCATGAATTTAGGAGAACTTAAAAAATGACAAGATGTTAGTGCAGTTCAAAAGTGCAGCTTGTTTCCAAGATTAATAGCAAGCTCCTAAGTAAAATCATAGACATTAAGACATGAGTTTGTGATTTAAGTAACTATATCAGTCATAAAATGAATGACTAACTGTTTTATTGGTAATAAGGCTAACCGGCTCGGGAAACCCTAAATTGCTTATTCTTTTCACTGAGTGGTACGTGCATATCGGTTAAAGTTTGACATATCTTCCTTAGTTTTGCATTTTAAAAAAAATAGTATAAGTAATTGGGTTGTAACGCCAGTGTTCAGATTTTGTTTCTAAACCAAGAACTAAATTTTTGTAGTGTACATGTTCGATTTAAGGTACAGGCATGTAATTTGGTTCACTGTGGTTAAGAGTAAGGTTGCTTTGTTTAGTGGGACATTTGAACTAGCATGCATGCATCATAGAGAGTGGAAATGGTAAGGTTTTTCCCACTAGAATTTTTTTTTAGTGTTGCAATTCAACAATATTAATAAATAGACTATTTATGTGTAAAATACCCCGAGGTTTTTCGTATAGGATTTTAATTTCTGTTAAGGTTATTCATAGGTATAACCAGTTTATAAGGACTTGAAATATCTTTAGGATCCAATAGGGTTAAGGTTGTTGTATTGTGTGTAACCTGCACAATGTGGAAAGCTGATTATCTCCATGCAAATCTGTTGCCTCTGTGCTGTCAATGTGATGTGCTTTCTGCATGGTTATATACTATTGAATTAATAGAACCTCCAAGCGTAAAATAATTATGTAGTAGGGCATTGAGGGCTGCATAATTAGATGGCACGTAAAGACAATTGTACAAGTGTAAGAGACAGGTTTGCTTTATTTAGTGTTTTTAATCCCACTTAATTGGTAATATTTTTGTTCAAAGCATGATCTCATGAGATGCTTATTGTCCTGTATTGGGTCTTAAGCAAGATAGATCAAGATTCAAATCTGGAATATTTGAAACAAAAATTGGCACATTGGTGGCCCTTTGTGCCATAAAAGCTGCAGGAGTAAAAAATGGAATGGATCCTGTTCCTTTAATTTGTTCCACTTTATGTTGCTTTCTATACTCTCCTTTGTTTGTGTAAATAAATTCTTTTACACTGAATTCTTCCCCTTCCCCCAATGTGTATTTTGTTGTAAATCTTTTTTATTTTTTTATTAGTATGTAATGTGAATGTGGAAAACAAAACAAACTGGTACACTTGACCTTTTATGCGTGAGTCTTTTCTAATACTTGGACTGCCTGAGAATTATCCCATGATGGTTAGATTTTTTTTCAGAGGGGGCACACCCTCCCCTAGGGAAAATTACAGCTCTGCTGGTCAGAGCGTGGAAGTGCAGCACTGCTTTTAGAAGCTGCAAGGCAAGTTTAAAATACCCAGCAAATAATTTTAAATACTTTAAAAGCCATGACAGCTTTTTATATTTGTAGGTTTCCCAGTGTTACATATTTTGCTATACAAAAAAGGGAGAAAAAGTTGAGTATTTGGCTGATTTAGCTGCATGCTTTTTTAAAATTTTTGTGATGAATGGGACAACTAATGCACTGAAGAACATAGCCTGTGTATGTATGTATGTATGTATGTATGTATGTATGTATGTATGTATGTATGTATGTATGTATGTATGTATGTATGTATGTATGTATGTATGTATGTATGTATGTATGTATGTATGTATGTATGTATGTATGTATGTATGTATGTATGTATGTATGTATGTATGTATGTATGTATGTATGTATGTATGTATGTATGTATGTATGTATGTATGTATGTATGTATGTATGTATGTATGTATGTATGTATGTATGTATGTATGTATGTATGTATGTATGTATGTATGTATGTATGTGTATGTATGTATGTATGTATGTATGTATGTATGTATGTATGTATGTATGTATGTATGTATGTATGTATGTATGTATGTATGTATGTATGTATGTATGTATGTATGTATGTATGTATGTATGTATGTATGTATGTATGTATGTATGTATGTATGTATGTATGTATGTATGTATGTAATGTATGTATGTATGTATGTATGTATGTATGTATGTATGTATGTATGTATGTATGTATGTATGTATGTATGTATGTATGTATGTATGTATGTATGTATGTATGTATGTATGTATGTATGTATGTATGTATGTATGTATGTATGTATGTATGTATGTATGTATGTATGTATGTATGTATGTATGTATGTATGTATGTATGTATGTATGTATGTATGTATGTATGTATGTATGTATGTATGTATGTATGTATGTATGTATGTATGTGAGAGTGATTGCAGCATGCAAAGTGGAGTTCTGTTGCCACAGTTTGCTTTGAGATGCATTTGTGGGTTTTTAGTTTTGTTTAACTTTGCATGAAAGCATGCAGTTATACATTCCTTAACTTTGCATAGCTTGGAAAGTGTGATTGGCCAGACGGACTTGATTTTCTAAGATTGTTTCACAACACCTGCATACTATGTATATAAACTATACAGTATGCTTTATGAGTTTTTGACTGGAAGCTCCCACCAACTTGCATGGCCTTTTACCATTTGTGCACCATACATACTTTCATTAACTGCTGAAACATAAATAACGTTTGGAAATTATCAGTTTGCTCAGATGATTGGAGAACACCATCATGGCTGCTGCTAGAAGCTAGATGTCTCGTGGAGAGTATTTGCATGCTCTTAGGTTTCAAACCAAAATAAATTTATGTGCTTGGTATCTGCAGCTGATTCCAGGATATGCTTAACTAACTTCTGATATAAATGGAGCATTTTCTTCAGGTCAGAAATTGCCCGACCAGGACCTACAATATTTCAGACCGCTTTTTCTCTCATTTCCAAAAGAAATTTAAAAACAAACCTTCAGTTATCTGGATTTAAGTCTCTATAGTGTTCAGGTGTAAGGAATAAAAATTACAGTATTATAGATTAGACAGAATTAAAAATTCACTAATTCCCTGGGATTTTTTTTACCAGTGTGGAAAGAAAGCAAGTGATTAGAGGTTTCTTTAAAGCATTCAAAATTGGAGTGAATAGGTTTCTAGTTTTAATTCTTAGACTTCTGGCAAGTACCACCATTCTTTTCTCATTGTCAGTTCAGACAGTGCTGCTGAAACAAACACTAATTCTAAAGCTGTGCAAATAACTCGAGTAGCTTTATTACTGTAATTAACAACAAAAGTTAAAGCAAACCATTTAAAATAAAATATTTAAAACATTTCTGCTCACCAGTCTTACTTTTACTCATCTTTCAGTGTCATTATTACAACGATTCCACCACCCCTTGTTTTAACAGTTTAAAACATTTTACCATTCCTTTCTCAGTCTCATGGGTTCCATCATCCAATTTGGAGGTGTGAGTAATGTTGAAATATTCAGCTGAAAACAGGATCCAAAGGCCAGTTTCTCAGCAATCCACACCAATACCTAGTAGTAACTTAGCTGCAGTTTAAATGCAGCTAAGTTAACCTTTGACATTATTTTCTTGCATCAAACAGAGACCTGTTACATTGTCACTTCGGCAGCACAATTTGTTCCAGGGTACAGCAAATTGTCTGGTGCAGAAAAAGCTAAAATCCCGTTGTCAAAACAGTGATAGCTTGCATGATGCTTCTGCTTTGACAGTCAAGCAGAACGACTCACTCATTACCATTTTGTCTGTTTTCATAACAATTAAATTACTGCAAATTTGGCAAATGTGGATTTTAAATATGGCTGCTGCATAAGACATATCCTGTGGCCAGGTTTGAATCCGTAGATTTAACCCTAAAATTAATGCTGTTAGGATAGAATTTTTAAAAATAAATATATCAATCTTTCCAAATTGGTGGGTAGACTTAACATCTTTTTGTGAAGTTTGAGGCTTCAGTTGTATTTGCTTCTTACGACCTCATAAACTTGGTGTCTGTAAACTGCTTTTAGGTTTACAGATCCCTTCTATGCAATTTATTTCCAAACCAATATTCGTAGCATTCATTGAACAGGTCATGATTAATCTGGCAAATGAAGATTCATGCTTTATAACGTAACTTCCATGCAAAGCTGCAGTAACAGTGTTCATCGCCTATTTTGAATGTTCATTTTCAGGTTTTATTCTTCCAAAGAACAGAATTTTGGTTTTCTAAGTCTTTTCCAACTGCATGCTGATGGCACTTAGTGCAGTTAAACAGTCTACCCCAACTCTCATCCAGTATATGATTAAAAAATAAATATTTATGTAGCCTAACTGAGGGAAATTGGAGAAACATAACAATATTAAACCAGTAATATGAATAAAATGAATATGTATACATCAGTGAGTAGTTTATAATAATTTCCCCCTTTATCTCCTTTTTAATGATAAAAGGATTTTGTTTAAACAAAACAACAATTTGTGAAGAAATTTAAAAACTGAAAATGAAGAACCCTAACTCTCCTTAAGTGTGATACTCAGTGCATTGCTAACAAATGTTCAAAGGCTAAGAATGTAATTCTCAGTTTAGTCTCAGCCTACTGAAGGGAATCCTGCATCATTTAAAAGAAAAAAGAGTAAATTGCACTCCGAGTGCTGAGGGTGTAAACATAAGCAACCTCCATTGTTAACGTATTTTTCCCCTTCATCAAAACAGTTAAATCTACTCAGATTAAATATTTTTTGCACAACTGTAAATGCATCATGGGATATACAGAGCATTTGAGTCACTTGTGTAAATGTACCATGTGGTTTTTGAATGTTGGGAGAATGTTGATGGAGTCATGAGAATTAGTCTCATCACATTCCATTGTTTCTGCCTTTTTGGCATATGCTAAAAGCACGGCTTGATATGTCTGCTCCTCACACTGAATGGAGTGTTGTTAGTGTGCTGTCCTGCAGAAACGGCCGCTGCTAATGATGTAGTTTTTCTACTTGAATATTTTTATGTTGTAGAAATCTCAGGTCAGGGTTTACTGTTTTATATATGCCTTTTACCTTCCCTTCCTGTTTGAGCTTCCCTCTTTTGAAGGATTCTAACAGTGCATTATTTAGAAGTTATAGATGCTTCAGGTCAACCTCTGTTGACACCTCTGAGTCTTTCACATGACAATTGTTATCTGTCTTTGGCCAGGATTGGCCACAGTCTGGATTAGAATTTCATGTGAAGTGTTCTCTTAAACATTTTCCACATGTGATCCATTCTGCTCTACAGTTGGTACAAGATTGCAGAAACTTCCAAATTGATTGTCAGTATACATAGTAGAAGTCCATAGCCATAACCCAGAACAGATTCTGTTTGATAAATACTGAAACAATTCACTACCATTTTGAGACATAAGGATTTAGCTTTTACAATTGGAATTTTATCTCATCAGTACCTTTGAGATTGACTAAACATTTCTCATTTTAATTGGGTTTTACGCAGAATGATACTCATTCACCCTGTGAATAACCTAAGAAATGCCATTCATTAGGGTGGAATGTGAAGGTTGTCATGAAATGCAGTACTGTCATTGTCCATGCTATTCTAAAGATTGCCTACATTTTCTGCAAAGTTTGCATAGAAATACACCAATTGATTAATAGCATTTTCTGAGCTCAGTCCTGTAAAAATCTTGTGGCCTGGGATAACCATGGAATATTTGTACTTCAGTGCTCATATTCCATGCCCTGGGTTAGTTACAGGCATCGACTGCCTGCACCATGACTATCTTATAGTTCATTTGAGGAATAATGGAAAATACCTGCATTTGTGCTTGGATTTCTTTCAAGTTTAATGACCAAAGGATTTTTGTTTTTTTAAAAAAGAAGGAGCTTTGTACACCAATAGTGTGGTGTTAGAATTTTCCCTTCAAAACCTCTCCTGCGACCTCTCAAGCTTTATGAACATAAGCAACATTTCTTGGAAGTCTGCTCTGTGTAAACTTGACAAAAGTTCATTTTAAATAGAAACATGGTTTTAATTTTTGATAAGCTGCTGAATTTTGAAGAAAGTTTTTGGGGCCACCAAATATTTTGGATCATGCAGAGAATATATATTGTATTGATCTTATATGTAGTAATTTTTGTATTGATAAATGTTAGTTTGTATATTGTAGTGAATAAGTAGCTGTTAATGTTAACCACTGCTAGGAAATGTATGTTGA